TCGTTTAGATTTCATGTAGTGAAAATTGATAAATATCATCTTTTCCTACTGCAATCATGCTATGTAACAAAATTGCACCATCCTATCATCAATCAGTGAAGTGAATTAAAATGTATTTTGAATGTTTGAGGGAACGCATGAAATTATGTATGTCGAATGGAAATTTGGTAAAGATATTTTGAATAGTAAGCATTGAGTAATATTGTGGTGCATAGCTAGACGAAGACTTGACTCGCATCAGTGTAGTAGAAACCAACGAATATAACTATCTCTAATCATCAAAATGTCGAACCAAACAAGTCACAATAAACTCCTATTCATTGATTTTGCTCTCACAGTACACTTCACAGTGCGACGGTGAAACACAATGACAAAAACGAGAAGAGCAGTGGTGTTATGAAAATATAACATTACCACAACGGTGAACACTGTATTCTGCATCTTTCAATGCATACAGATATAGATACATATACAAAGGAAGGAGAGTTATTATATCGAAGTCGATAACTGACGGGTCTGAAGAGTAGATTCTGCTTTCACATTAACAAATCAACCACAAACGATTAGGAATAAGATTTGGCGAATGACACATTCGCAAATAGATTCCGATGCGCCGTCACGTTTGTCGTACTGATTTAATGATCAAACATACTACTTAACGAATCACCAGTACTGTTAGTATTGACAGTACTGGAAGCCAGTCAAAAATGAACTATAAAAATTTTAATGTGGAAAGATGGAATAAATCTGAGGAAGAGAATGCACACGATAAGGAGGACAATCATAATTTCGAAGAAGATAAACACAGATCAACACACATGTTTGATACTGAAATCAACTTCCGTCAATCTTAATCAACATCATCTCTCTCGTTCTCACAGTCGGTTGAAATAGCAAACACAGATGTGAAAGCTAGCTACTAATCTCAATGCTCCCATGCTCAAACCATAAAACTCAAATTAACTCTGCTAATCTCCAACACATAATCAGTACCTCGTTCACAGAGACAATCAATCGATGATGAGGCACCAATCACATGATTTCGGATCCCTACACACAAATATGCTCGCATCATCACCGAAATCTACAAACTTCAACATAACATCCTTTCAACCACTCTCACTGTCATCACACTCAAATCAAATGTCATCATCATTATAGATCACACGAAATCGTTAACAATTGAGATTACCAACAAATATGTCTGTGATCTGTAGAACAAACTGCCGATTGTTGCTGTTGCCCGAGTAACCAGTGAAAAAATTGCGATGTGTGAAGTGATAGTGAATACCGAATTCCAGTCACAGTTTGCACATCAGCATTCACATCAACATCATTCCATCTCTCATTCTCAATTCCAACTCACACTCCGAAATACAATCTCCGTATTCCAACAGCCATTATCACACATCCATAGGGTAAGCAAACACCTGTACAATGCAACAATTTACCAACACAGGTTTATTCGATTCCACTAATACTGAGTATCATACTCAACAGTGAGAATACACTTAGAAACACTCACAAGGTAAAATACATTCAACCGAGTGTTCTCACAATCAATAACATTACAATTACGCACTACTTCATACTAGCCACATTCCCTACAATCTCAATCACATTCTCTCCTAACACATAGATTTCACACGAAAACATGGTCATATATCAGTACACTTCACACTACAACTAATTGGAATTCATATAATACCATGAATGCACATAGTTTACTCTTCGTTATGAACAGAAGTGTAGAATTTTACCGAGCAATCGAATGAGAAGTATGTGTAAATTGTTTGATGAATTATAGATGGATTGTATGGACGAGTGACTGATGTCGGATAGACGACAACCATTGTGATTGTAGGATTGTTGAATACTGGTTAAGTGGTAGTTACATACTATTCAACGATAGTGTACACACTGATTATTGCATCGTGTGTATGGGATTATATATTTGTGTTCGTTTATTTAGTTAACTAATATTTAATATGGACTAATGTTATCGAAATAATCAACAAATTGATGTGACATAGAGTTGACATTATATTTTGCAATGTTTTTATGCACTACTCACTAACCAGTATTCAGTGTATTGACTTATGTACGTACACATGTCCATGTTGCTGATTTTATAGGGAAATGATGAGATATGTAATTTGTTAAATGTATTCAATGAGAATTTTGCATAGAATTCTAATAAAATTAATCATATTCACCGATGATAATCCATGATTTACAGAATTAATTTAAAACAAATTTATGCATCTGACGAAAATTAACCTGTTTTGATGTTCACTTACTTTTTATTACGAAAAATGATTATTTTTGGTGAATTGTACAAAATATGCACTTAATAATAAAAGTAAATATGTAAAATTATTTAGTAAATAGAAGATTCAATGACAATAATACTATATTATTATTATTATTATTGTGAACTGTTTAAATATAAACTCGTGAATTATGAAATCGCATATTAATAATGTAGAGAATATCATTTTCCGCTTAAGAATGCACAATTTCAAATTTGTATAAGTCAGTAAGGTAAAAATAAAAAGTGAAAACTGTTTCATAGTTGAATGATTTTTTTTCAAAAATTCTAAGAATTAAGATATTTACTGTAATTGTTGACCAATCAGTAAAATTTTAAAAAATTTTCACTTAAATTTTAATTTAAAACGAATTAAAATGGGCAATTTTTTTTGTTTAAAAATCCTGTTTTATAAACACAAGTGATGAGATTAAATTTAGTAATTTAGTTATAGATAAATTAATCATAAAACCGTTTCATTTAAGTATATTTTGTCTAATAATTTGAAATATGTATAATCAAAATAGTGTAAGATAAATTGTTACAGTGAAAAATGATGACGAAAAATTGTCTTTAGAATAAATGATGTTTACTGTCTGGTCAAAAATAATAATAATAAATAAATAAATTTGAAATAAATTCGTTAAATCTTACTGAGTAATTCTAAAATCAGTCTCATTCATATAAATGGAAAATGAAATAAATTAACATTGTTGTTAGTCAGAAATTAATGACAGTTTCTTTGATGGCTGCCAAATCAATGGCCTAAAGCTATTGTAGCTTCCAAATGGATTAAACCTTCTGTTAGGATTTTGCTGAGGCTACTATTTCATTTGTGTAAGGTGTATTGATTGAACTAGAACAAAACAGACATTTAGAACTAACGAGCTGAATTCAGGCTATAATACTAATTGTCATATAGGTAATCTTATTTGGTTATCGTTTCATTTCACAACTACTGACTTTTACTTAGTACTTTCTCTCAGTGAAATGCGTTTTTGCTAAAGTAAATATCAAAATAAATAAGATTTATTCACTGTGGACAAGATTATCTATCTGAGTGCGTTTGATGGTTTAAATAGCAATATATGAATATTGAGTAGAATTATTCATCAAATGTTGCTCGGTATTATTCAGATTAACTATTCTGTGAATGCAGTAAGTTAAGTAAGCAAAAGATTTACTTTTTAATTATTCGTTTGCACGATTATTGTCACAGAGTGTGGTCATTTTAATTCGTCACAAAACTTTTTATCCATAGCTAAGTACCAGGCATTTTTAAATGATAAAATTTATTGTTTATACAAATGTAAACAATTTAGTATGGTTAGGTTACACTAAAGCTCTGTATATATTTCATGTGTGCATGAGCTTACATGAGAGGAATTATTGCAGTTATACAGATGAAGGCTAATATGTTCAGCAAATATATGAACTGAGATTTAAACTTTAAGACTGGTTACTATTATCAGCTTCAAGATACTCTAACAATTGTAGAATTATAGTGCTTGAATCTCTGCCTCCATTGTTTAAAATATCTCTGAAAGCTTTGGAAATCGAATTCTCAAGTTGCCTAGACATAATTTTCTCACTCCTCGGCTGTTCATTCAAAGAGTAGATCAATTATCAATACGTTTGAGGGACCGAACTCAGTCGTAATGCTTTTTGAATTCAACATAAAAATCATTTTCCTTAATGACTTATCTAACTCTAAAGATTTCATTGATGTCCTGAAAGTTTTCCAAGAGATTTATCGAAGATTTTAATAAATAGTCCCATGTATTTATTGAACAGATCATTTAATTCAAACAATTTAAAACTGCATCTTTTAAAATTTATTAAAACTTAACTATAATGCAATATGTATGCGACATAGTCTTCCATTAATTGTCATGTAAGTTTAAACTTATGATCAACTGATTAAAATTGGCTCAGTGTATTTTTCTGATGTGCACAGAAGTATGTATTTGAACTTATATTAAGGTTAAATCATTTTCCATAACAAGTGTTACTGATCACAAATACTTTTCTTCAGCTTCATTTCACATTAAATAATATACAAGTTTCTAACCAATGGCTTGTAATATTAACAAATGACAAAACGTACATTTCACACATGGTTACTTCAAAGGTTATTTAATTTCAGTCATCTTCAATTAAAAGATCAAAGATTATAACAATAGTTGTTTTAATTTGATTTAAATGAAAATGCGGCATAATTACAGATCGTATATCAAGTGTAATTCAAAACATCGGATAAAATGAATTTCTTTTGTGTTGTGATTTTGTGTTCTCTAAGTTATGGAGAATACTCACTCATTCAATCCCTTTAATTGAAAATTACATTAAACCGAAGCATCTATACAACCTGTAAATTGTCCTAATCATTTCAAATAGTTCTGTTATCAATAATTGAGTGATATTTCATTAAAATTATTCAATACTTTCTTGTTTTAATGGTTAGACAGTCGATATTAGTTTATGATTAACTAACTAACTAACTAACTAATCAAAAATCATATTAAAATGAATAAACATGTTAAACAAGACAAAACATACTCTATAATGCATACTAAATAACTACAATCATCTGTAAATAATCTGTAATCGTAACATAAATATATATATATATATATATATATATATATATATATATATATATATATATATATATATACATTCATCATACCTTGGTCTACCTCTAAGCATATAATATGCATCAAGATTTTCCATGTACTTGTTAAATGCTTCACTAGTATAAAATAATGACATCAATTTAGCTAATGCTTGTTGTGCACGTTGTTGTTCATTTTGTGTAGACATAAGATGATGATTATTATCATTATTATTATTATTGTGAAGATGATTCAATTCATCTGCAATGATGAACATTGAATTCGATTGAAATAAAATAAATCTCATCAGTAATATAAGTAGTATACTAAATGAATTCATTGATTTAACATTCCAATAATTCAATGAAAATTGTCCATATGTTGGACAATGCATTGTTTATTTGTGAATTAATTATTTTGCACTAATATTTCTACAAAAGTTTCTTCTGATTATTTCAAACTGTTTATTAATTATTTATTTCAAGTTTTACAATGCAAAATTATTAAAATCTCATTTATTTATACTTGAACAAACTAGATTTTGATTTGTTAATTTAAAATTTAATCCTAAACAGTTTTCTACCATTGTTGATTGGTTAGTTAGTTATTATTATTTCCCAACTCATATTTCACCGATGCAATGACCTTACTAGTAATTCTTCCATCTAGTTAGTTATATTCATTGTTGCCATTGTTTTGTTTGAATGTGTTTTCATGGAGAAAGATATTGTCTAAACATTATAAACTGAATTTAAATTTGTCTACACTTGAGGTCAATCATTTTGAAAATTGACTGAATAGATCTTATCATGGAGAATAAAATTACATACTACTGAATAAGAATAATTCACACTTACAGTATACTGATTATTTCAGATAAGTTACAACATATCCAGTTGTTTTGATTTATTAATGATAATCAATCTGATAATTTTGAAAAAAAAAATTTATTTTATTTTATTTTCTAGAAATTTTACCAAGGAGATAATCAGAGAAGTAAGTTTTAGAAAAAAAATTTTAAAGAAATTGTTATCTCTGTTCAACTGTTATTATCAAAAAGAATCTATAAATTGGAGCACAGAAATAGCGACCATTATGAGATAAACTTAAAATTTGACTGTTTCAGTCTCATAGAATACAGTTGTTATTCAGCTACACCGAGATGATCATCTGATTAGTATATCGATTAAATAAGTAGACTATATCAAAAACACTAGTTTGTTCATTGAAGTCAAATTCGTTAATAGAATAATGAAACATTGCAATCTATACTCTCAACTCTATCTCACTTCATTTTGTTGATTATTTCGATAACATTAGTCCATATTAAATATTAGTTAACTAAATAAACGAACACAAATATAAAATCACATACACACGATGCAATCGTCAGTGTGTACACTATCGTTGAATAGTATGTAACTACCACTTAACCAGTATTCAACAATCCTACAATCACAATGGTTGTCGTCTATCCGACATCAGTCACTCGTCCATACAATCCATCTATAATTCATCAAACAATTTACACATACTTCTCATTCGATCGCTCAGTAAAATTCTACACTTCTGTTCATAACGAAGAGCAAACTATGTGCATTCATGGTATTATATGAATGCCGAATAGTTGTAGTGTGAAGTGTACTGATATGTCTCTGTTTTCGTGTGAAATCTATGTGTTAGGAGAGAATGTGATTGATATTGTATAGAATGTGGCTCGTATGATGTAGTGCGTAATTGTAATGTTATTGATTGTGAGGACACTTGGTTGAATGTATTTTACCTTGTGAGTGTTTCTAAATATATTCTCACTGTTGAGTATGATACTCAGTATTAGTGGAATCGAATAAAACTGTGTTGGTAAATTGATGCATTGTACAGGTGTTTGTTTACAATATGGATGTGTAAAAACGGCTGTTGGAATATGGAGAATGTATTTCGGAGTGTGAGTGAGAAATGAGAATGAGAGATGGAATGATGCTGATGTGAATGCTGATGTGCAAACTGTGACTGGAATTCGGTATTCACTATCACTTCACACATCGCAATTTTTTCACTGGTTACTCGGGCAACAGCAACAATCGGCAATTTGTTCTACAGACTATGGACATATTAGTTGGTAATCTCAATTGTTAACGATTTCATGTGATCTATAATGATGATGACATTTGATTTGAGTGTGATGACAGTGAGAGTGGTTGAAAGGATGTTATGTTGTAGTGTGTAGATTTCGGTGATGATGCGAGCATATTTGTGTGTAGGGATCCGAAATCATGTGATTGGAGTCTCATCATCGATTGATTGTCTCTGTGAACGAGTTACTGATCATGTTTCGCAGATCAGGAGAGTTTATGTGAGTTGTATGGTTTGAAGATGGGAACATTGAGAATAGTGGCTAGTTTCCACATCTGCTTTGGTGATTTCCACCGATTGTGACTTAAGTGCGAGTGAGAACGAGAAAGATTATGATGATTGAGATTTACTGAAGTTGATTTCATTGGCAGACATGTGTCTGTTGATCAGTGTTTATCTCCTTCAGTTTGATAATTGTGCACATCACTTTGTGCATTCCGTTCCTCCAATTAACGACGTCTTTTTACACTACACTTTATAGTTTATTTTTGACTGGCTTCCAGTACTGACAAATACTGATGCTGTTTTGTTGCTTCGTTACGCAGTATGTTTCATCAACAGATGAGTTAGGTAAAAGTCACGATGTGTCAGAATCTCTTTGCGAATGTGTCATTCTGCGATTCTCATTCCTGATCGATTGTGGTTGATTTGGTAATGTCAAAGCAGAATCAACTTTCCAGAACCGGTTAGTTGTGTATTTTGATATGAATTACTCTCCTTCCTTTGTAATATGTATCTATATCTGTATGCATTGATAGATGCAGAATACAGTGTTCACCGTTGTGGTAATGCAAGATTTTCATAACCTCACTGCTCTTCTCATTTTTTCATTATGTCTCAACGTCGCACTGTGAAGTGTACTGTGAGAGCAAAATCAATGAATCGTTGTTTCTTGAGAGTAAGTTCGTTAGATATTTTGATGGTGAGAAGTTGTTGCTTTTAGTGATTTCTCGTATACTGATGCGAGTCAAGTCTTTGTCTAGCTATGCACCACAATATTACTCAATGCTTACTGTTGACAATATCTGGACCAAATTTCTATTCAACATACATAATTTCATGCGTTTCCTCAAACATTCAAAATACATTTTAATTCACTTCACTGATTGATGATAGAATGGTGCGATTTCGTTACCGACTTTTGCAAAGATACTGAGCATGATCGGAGTAGAAAAAGATGATATTTATCAATTTTCACTACATGAAATCTAGACGATGGGAAGATGTAGGAAGCTTTTAAACAGGTTACACAAGAAAATGCATTCATTTGCTTTTAATTCTTAGTGTTGTTTTATGACTTTTATTTAAATTAACTGAATTCCGGTTATAAAACTCACATTTTAATTTAATTTCTAAAATTAAATATCGTAATTAATAGTTTCACATTCTCATTCTCTTCATACCATCAGTATGTGGGAGGACTAATTACATGTGTAATAGTGAGCAGAGAATGAAATTGTTGCGGAACCGTCTTTTTAAACTAATTCGCTTTCGGATATAGGATGGAGAAACTAATTTGACGAGACTGTAGGGCATGTAGTAGTCATGATTTTTTATTCTGTTATAATAGTTGGGCAATTATGAAGAAGAAAAATGTTTTGAGGTTGTGAATGATTTGGAGAAATAATTTGGCTTCTGAGATACATTTCATATTTATACTGTTTTTCAATGCTCTTTTTTAAGCAGTAATGTTTTTATTAAATTGTATTTCATAGTTCACTGACTTTTCATCTTAAATTCATCGTTGACTAGTTGAAAATTTTCAGAAGTAGTCAAATACTCTAAAAGATTTCAAAAATTACCTGCGTAGAAATCTTGATATTTTGACTTGAATTTAGTTCGAAAATGTTCAGATTTTGCATGATGGCTGACTACAACCGATTATTTCTTAGAGGTGTTGTTTTTATATTCTGTATTGCAAAATGAATTTCATTTGTTCATTGAAACTCTGAATATTGAATATTCACTTTTTTCTGGATTCAATGAATTTATGGATTTGGAATAGAAAGTATAGTAATAAGCTAAAATGATCGACGAAATTAATAGTGTGACTTTCGAATATTTAACGAGAACGTATCAGTAAGTGCATAATGATGCTTGCTTTGACATTTCTTACGATTGAGATAGATGCGCAACGTTATCTAATTAAATTATTAATTTAGAAAGGAATCTATCCGCAATTATTCATTCAATGAAAATAATTCTGAACAATTGAGAATGCCTATTCCATGTTAGCCTACGATTACTGTGAAACTGGTTCAAGACATTACTTAGTACACAAATAAACAAGTAAGCTTACTAGATCTGATGTGTATCAAACCGAATCATTTATTCATCATCGATCAAATGAGCTAATGATTGGGATAATATCAGAATGAATACAAAAGAATGATGTGACCTTTCCAATGTATGACATTTTGAATTTCATTAGATTTGAGAATTGATCAGTGAAATTGAGATCAAGAACCAATACTGGTTAGATGATCACAGGTCACTTCCTCTTAGTGTAGGACCTACCAGCTGTGTACATCAACAACTCCATCACAGAATACTGAACCGTAGATCTTTAGTCGAGTTTGTATACAATTACTCATGTGATCACTAATGCTAGATCTAGTAGTACACAAATCTAATTACAATCAACCCATGATAGATCATCACCATCCTTCGATATCTTCGCCATGAATCGTCAATAAACTAAATATTAATGACATATGTAATGTGAAGATCTTTTTGTTTACACCAAATTCTTAAACAGTACCCAACAGCAATAAAATACTTCACCCTAAATGCCTAACAAGAATTCCATGTTTATTTATTCAAGTATTAATATGGTACAATGACTTTTTTTTGCTACAACAATGGTGGGTGGTTTAGAATTGCTTCTACAAATGAATTTTCAAACTGGAAAATATGCTGAATTAGGATAACCGTATTATATAATATATATAATATATATGTTTATTCGAGATTCTATTGAATGCCTTATCAACATTCTTCAGATAACAATACATCATTCATCATAAGTGAAAAGAAGGCAAACTTTTGTATGTGAGTAGATATTAATTCAGAAAAACTTGTTTACAATTGAATCGGTTTAAGTGAAAAAAAAAACAAAACATTTTCATATACAATAATCCTGTTTACTTGTAAAAATAAGAAGCCATATTTGTATGCAGCATTGATGAAATTCAACATCTTCTATTGTGCCTCCACTGTTTATTTTTTTTATTCATTTCTTCAATAGAAAATTATAATTCTTATCATGAATTGAAATTTTATTTTTAAAAAAAAATTTCATTTAAGAAGAAACATAACAATACTTTCTCCCTATGGAT